TTACTCCCTTCCCCACCATTACCTCAACCATCCACACTTTTAAACTTCCCCAGCTTAACAGTAACCACTTTTTCCACACCATTTGATAATGTTGGATCAGGAGCTTCATAATAACTCACCTGATTTTATATCCACACGGGTTGATCCAAATTCACTACCTCCATACTAAGGAAGGTGCACACAACTCTTACGAAATGAGAAGGAGGATGTTGTGTGTTGTTCGCGAGAGAGTGCAGTGCGACCACGGGGAGAAGAAAGGGGAAGATGGAAAACAAAGTAATTAAGGTTTTTAATGTGAATGAAAGTAAAAGGAGAATTTTAAATTACAGGAGTGCAGGAAGAAATGACCATTGTGTTTTTAAAGGGGAAGTTCGTTGGGCTGGCACATTTCTACTCTTCGGCCTCCTTATTTCCATGGATATTTTACTTACACCTTTAACATTTTATCCTAGTTTTCCAACTTTTTTGAAAAATTTCATTTTTAATTTTAATAAATATTTCTTTTCTTATTAAAATTATTCTGCATCCAATAAGAATCTAATTTAATTTAATATTTTAATATTATTTAATATACATTTATATTTTAATAATTATTAAAATATAATTTCTAATATTATAATAGTTATATTAAAAAATAATAATAATTAAAACAAAAGTAATAATAATGAAAATAAAATATAAAAAATAATATAAATAAAAGAAAATAATAATATAAAATATAAAATTTAATATATTTAAATATATTAAATTATATTAAAATATTAAATTAAATTAAATAATTATTAAAATTTAAATAAAAACAAAATTAAAAAAAAGTTATTTATGAGATATTTATATCCATTATCATAGTTAACGGATTTCTATATCCGATTAACAAATTTTTTTAAATTTTGATTTTTATTTAAAATTTAATAATTATTTAGTTTAATTTAATATTTTTATATAATTTAGTATATTTAAATACATTAAATATGATTTTAAATATTATTTTTGTTTTTGTTTTTTATTTTAATTATTATTACTTTTATTTTAGTTATAATTATTTTAATTTTTTTTTTAGTATAATCATTATAAAAATATAAATTATATTTTAATAATTATAAAATATAAAAATACAATAAATAATATTAAAATTTTAAATAAAATTAAATAGTTATTAAATTTTAAATAAAAAATAAATTTTTTTATTTGTTTAAGTCATTAGCATATTTACGGATTTCGCTAAACAAAGTTTTTAAATTTTTTTTTATTTAAAATTTAATAATTATTTAATTTATTTTAATATTTTAATATAATGTAATATATTGAAATGTATTAAATCAAATTTTATATAATTATTATTATTTTATTTTTATTTTTATTATTGTTATTATTATTTTAATTATTTTATTTTTTATTTTTTAATACAAATATTATTATAATATAAATTATATTTTAATAATTATCAAAATATAAAAGTATATTAAATAATATTTGAATTTTAAATTAAATTAAATTATTATTATTATTATAGTAGTGCAGAATTTTTTAATAAAAAAGAAAAATATGAAAAAATATTTATTAACATTAAAACTAGAATTGTTGAAAAAGATTAGAGAAGTAGGATGAGAGGTTGAAGGTGAGGGTGAAACATCTTACTTTCACTCATACACTCCCATTTTTCTGTTTTAACTTTTTTTATCCTTTGGGCCGATTTTTATTTTCTTTTACACACTCCATTTTCATTCTTTTGCACTCTTTTTTGCCGGACCATTTTAGCTTTTTTCTCGCACCCCCTCATTCTCATGCCTTGCACCTTCATTTATTTTTCTATTTTGTCCTTTATGCTTTGTACACTCCGCTCGTTCACCTTTGCACTACCCACATTTTTCTTTCTTTATTTTTGGGATGAAATGCGTTTAACTTTCTATACCGACGCTTTCACCATTTACTGCGCCACGTCTTTCATATTTTTTTTGGGCTTTAGTTTTTTGCACTCAATGGATTTTTACCTTTTTGTGCCCCCATCTACTTTTACTTTGTTTTTGGGATGTTACTTTCTGCATCCTGCATTTTCACTTATGCCAATAAATTTTAAAGACATTTAGCTTATATGCTAAATCATGAAGACATTATTAAACCACGGTTTTTCGACTCATAAATTTGGAAGACGTTTAGTCTATATGCTAAATCATGAACACGTTTAGAACATAGACAAATATCATCTTTTCATATCCAAATTAACAACAATCAGATCAATCAGACATCTATTGAAAAAATCATAAATCAAACAATCATCAAAAGTTAATAGTTAATGTAAAAAAAAATACTATGCTAAATATAAAAAACACTGGAATATAATAAACCTATGTGTACTATATACCGATCGGAGTTAGCAGATATTAATTGGTTAGATTGTCGTACGTTTTACAAATATACAATATTAATCATTGATTATTGGATTTGATTGTCTAAAAATATATTGCGTTAATGGTTAATCAATATGGTTGTCTGTCACAAGCCTTATAAATATACAATTGATGTTCAGGTAAAATGATCATTTTCTATCATCATTTATCCTAACAAAATAATGACCTCTTTATCAAACATATATCTGACTTGAGCATCGAAGTGTCTTCTCCAGGTTAACAACCCATCGGAGTGGATTGCGTTCTCGGAGAGGATTGGACGATCGAAAGAGAGAAGAGCAAGGAAGGACGACCAACCCTCGACCAATTCAACCGAAACATTTTGGCATCCATCGTGGGGTCGATCGGCATCCCCATGAAACCATGAGGAACCAGACGTGTGCTCGGTCTTGATATCGCTACTTCGGATCAATACCAGGTTTTGCAACAAGGGCAAAAAATTTCGTAATAATTTCGTAATAATTTTTAAAGGCATGTCTTTTGTTTTGAGAACTTATAGGAAGGTTCACACCTACGTTCAACCTTGTCAGGTTCAATGACTTTGCATTATAATTTATAAATTATAATATATTGAAGCGTTTACTTCATTTTGTTTAACTTATATTTTTGTGAGTAAAAATATCTCGCACAGGAAGGTTCCGTCCTACGTTCTACCTTATTAGGTTCCAATGGCTTTTCATTATAATTTATAAATTATAATATATTGAAGCATTTACTTTATTTTGTTTAATTCATATTTTTGTGAGTAAAAACACCCTTCACAGGAAGGTCCAGGCCTACGTTCAACCTTATCAGGTTCCAATGACTTTTCATTATAATTTATAAATTATAATATATTGAAGTGTTTACTTCATTTTGTTTAACTCATATTTTTGTGAGTAAAAATATCTTATACAGGAAGGTCTAGTCCTACGTTCAACCTTATCATAAAGGTTCAAACCTACGTTCAACCTTGTCAGGTTCCAATGACTTTTTATTATAATTTATAAATTATAAAATATTGAAGCGTTTACTTTATTTTGTTTAACTCATATTGTTGTGAGTAAAAATATCTGCCAGGAGGCTCAGTCCCTTCCCGCTCGGTCAGTTGGACCACCTGCGTTCAACCTTGTCAGGTTTCAATGGCCTGGCTCTCGTGCGAGCATCAACCAGGCACCTCTACCCTCGTTCAGCATATCCTGAGCGATGCCTACTTATATTATCATAGTCAATGTCCTCATTTATTTTGTGGGTCACAAGGCAGTAAGCACATACAACTCATCTGTGACACATCCTAATACGAATTCCTCATTTTTGACCTCCAAACGTTCAATCGAGGACCGAAGACCGAATGAACTCGCCTGCCCAGCCATCCAGCTTCATAATCTAAATTAATTTGATATTAATTTGATTGGCTACATTTTTCTAATCCTTCGAATTTGAATTTCTATTTTCTCTTTAGTCAGCTGATAGGACCTTGTGCACAAATCACTCGACGAAGCTCCTTGGTGATTCTATAAAACGAATCCACCTCGACCACAAATGAGCTCCTCAGTAATTCTATAAAAACGAATCTACCTCGACCTTGAACGGATGAAAAGCTCCTTGTTGATTCTGTAAAATGAATCTACCTCGACCAGGAACAAACAGAAAGCTCCTTGGTGATTCTATAAAACGAATCTACCTCGACCTTGAATGGACGGAAAGCTCATCGGTGATTCTATAAAACAAATCTACCTAGACCTTGAACGGACGAAAAGCTCCTCAGTGATTCTATAAAACGAATCTACCTCGACCTTGAACGGAGGGAAAGCTCCTCGGTGATTCTATAAAACGAATCTACCTCGACCATGAACGAACGGAAAGCTCCTCGGTGATTCTATAAAACGAATATACCTCTCTAAATAGACTTCCTAAATATAACGTAAGTGACCTCTCTTAAACTCATAATAATCTCTGCGCACCTCTTTCAATAAAGAGCTTGTTTGGGCTTGGGGTGCTTATATACTATATACCGATTGGAATTAACACGTATTAATGGGTCAGATTGTCTTACGTTTTACAAATATACGATATTAATTATTGATTATTGGGTTTGATTGCCTAAAAATATATTGCGTTAATGATTAATCAATGTGTTTGACCGCCATAAGCCCAAAAATATACAATTGATGTCCATGTAAAATGATCATTTTCTATCTTCATCTACCCTAACAAAATAATGACTTCTTTATCAAACATATATCTGACTTGAGTGTCGGAATATCTTCTGCTAGTCAAGAATCCATTGGATTGCGTTTTCGAGGAGGATTGAAATATTGAAAAAGAGCATAATATGGATTTTAAGTGTCGCTCGTGACGTATTTTCTTGTAACGAGAGTCATCGAAATCAAATTGAAAAAAAATAATTAGTTGGGTTCAAAAACTCTTTTAATGTTTCTTTTGCGTAAACACGATCAGTTTGAACTATCCAACTTTCTATATATGCAAACTGTGTAGTACATCCAAAAAACTGTATACAAATTTAAATATACACGCAGGTAGTAGGATGTAGTAGCTAGATGCAATTTATAAACAATAATGATGTAAACAGTAAATGGAGAGAGAGCACAGCCACCTACCCTTCCCACTCTCCACACACAACTGTGCCGCGCATTCATTGGAGACAGAGACGTATGCTCCTACTCTTACACTATTACTACTACTTCCTTCAGATGGATCAACTCATGAAACCCTAGAAGGCAAGCAAAAGGAAGCAAAAAGCATTAGCATTATTATCACTAAGAAAAAACAAGAGCATGAAGGGTGAGCAGAAAAAAATGACAGTAGTGGTAGCAGGGTTGCTGTGGGTGTTTGTGTTGGGTGTGGGGGCGTCGGAGGAAGGAGATTTGGCAGCGCAGTGCAACCTGCTGGTGCAGAAAGTGCTTCCGTGTCTGAGCTTCGCGACGGGGCAGGCGGCGGTTCCGACGAAGGAGTGCTGCTCGGCGACGTTGGAGATAAAGAAGAGCGACCCGAAGTGCCTGTGCTTTGCGATCCAGCAGACGCATAAGGGGATCCCTGAGGCGAAGAGCATGGGCATTCAAGAGGGTAGGCTCCTTCAGCTCCCTTCTGCCTGTAACTTGAAGAACGCCAGCACCACCGATTGTCCTAGTACGTTCCTCCATTTCCATTTTCCTATTCAGCATTCATACTGTCACATACACTTACATTTATTTTATGTAAATTATAAAAATAAAATAATCATAAAAAATGATTTTTTATATATTTTTTAAAAAATATATAAAAATTAAGAAAAAATAATATCAAATTAATATAAAAAAAATTGTATATGTAAAAGTGTCATTTTTTTTTTTATCTTTTACTTCAACTTTTTCCCAACAATTTATTGGAAAAAGCAAAAGCAGCTACTTATCTACGATAATTGCTTTATCTCTACCAGTTTATAAGAATGGAGATGTTTTTTATAGCACAAAAGTATAAAATATACTTATTTCAGCTGAGTTAATATTAACATTTGTATGACATAGAAGCAGTAATATATAAGAATTATTAGGTCTGGTACAGCTCTAAAGAGTGAGTAAAAATAATCAAGACTCCTATTATTCTCAATTTCTTTTAAAACCGTAATATTTTTATTAAATTAGTATAATGTTTTAATTAACTTAGTATAATTATTGATAAATATATATAAATAATATCAATTTAGTGTATGTAAATTTTGAAGAGTAAGTCTGTTACTACTCTATATAATAATAGTTTATAATTTTGAATTAAAATAAAGTCTTTATTTTGTAAAATAAAAGAAGTTAAAGTGAAAATGTATAACTTTGATTTTGATGATTTGAGTGTGGCAGAGCTTCTGGGTCTATCTCCAAACTCCCCTGACGCTGCCATGTTCAGGAATGGTTCATTGAAAATTAATTCGACTTCAACGTTGGGAACTGCAAGACCACTCTCAGACACCCAGAAGGCCTCGTTTGGAACCATGCTTCTTCCACCTCCTCTCACGCCACCACACCTAGCTGCACTGCTTTGCGCCATTCTCCTCCTTCTCACGACTTTAATTTAATGCTCACGCAACACCACATCAGCACCTTAAAGTTGGTAGCTCTTTTGCTATTACTCAAAGTAACTGCTAGTGATGGATCAATTTAATTATTTGCAGGTTGCACCATGCTCTGTACAATTACTTTATTTGCATCTGTATCATTTTATGTTTGCTGGCTTCTCTATATATATTTTATTATATTTATAACCATAATAACTTATACTAATTTAATATATAATAAAATATCATTATAAAAGTATATAATGGAGTATTTCGTGCTAATTATTAAAGTAGAAAATAAATAAAGCAGTATGAATGAGAAAAGGGATGGATTATCTTTATATTATTTCTATTATCTAAAAAATATGTTTCTCGATGATTTAGTTTTGATTAATTTTTTTTTTATTTTTGTTTGTAACTAAATTAATTTGATGTAAGTTCTTTTTCACAAGGTTAACAAATACTATTTTTTAATCTAATTGGGATATTTTCATATTTTAATGTCGATAAAAGGATTAACTTAATGTAAAAGGTGTTATTTTTCTGAACCAATTTCATCTCACATTTTGTAAGTTCAACCTCTTTTTTACTTATTTTAATGAGAATCTCATATATAACAAGTTTGTATTTTGTTTCTTTTGCGTTTGTGATAAAGATGAGAATGGAAACGCATTAACAATGGATAAAGTGTAATATAAACGATGGTAATGTTCTAGTTAGGATAAGTCATCTAGAAGCAACCATTGGAGCTCACAGTTTGACATGTGAAATTTTTGGTGGTGTGGAATGATGGATGGGTTGGGGTTTTGAAGTGATATATGGTGATGGAAGATGTGTTTAAAGGTTCTCTAAGAGAGGTTAGGTCAACTGTTAGAGGAAGGTGGCTAGAGGAGGCCATTTGGGTTGCTCCAACCTAGGGTAATCTAAAACGAGTAGTATGACAAAAAAATGGCAGCATAACTTTACTCTAAATCAAAGGGAATTACATGATAGAGAGTACTCTACTTATAAGCTAAGGTGTTTCAAAATGGGCAGAAACTTTAACCTAAAAGAGCCACCTTGGTTGGCTTGGAGAGCAAGGAGAAATCCTTTCCAATAGGAGGGAGACAAGTGGCAAAAATCCTCTCAAGTGAGAGAGTGATAACTGGCTACTACGTATGGAAAAACTCTCCATTCCTAGAGTGGCACATGGACACTAACTAGGAGTAAAACTCTCCAATGGAAAGCCTCCACATGTCTAGGACGAAATCTTGCTCCCTTGTTCTCCAAGCTTAGCCAAAATGTTGACCCCTTAGTCAACACACCCATTTTGGACGTCCAAGCATAGTCAACTTTGGGCCTTGGCCCTTTGTTGACTTGTTTGGTCAAAATCCTATTCTACTTGACCCAAAATACAAGGCCCAATTGAAATCCTACACTATTAGGCCCATCATAATACAAAGCCCAAATAAAATCTAGATTACTTGGCCTAAAATTCAAGGCCCAAAATTATTCTTACTCTACTAAGTCTTCATGATGGCTTAAGATGGCCCAAGAGAAAGAGTCTAGGCCCATCTTCCATAGATGTCTCCAACTATTCATGAATATGCTAGGTCATGGCTAGGGGTATGCCATCATCCCCTCACTCTTGAAAAGGATTTGCCCTTAAATCTTCAACATGGGCTAAAGGCAACTTCCTTTTCTTCATAATTTTCAATTATTCCTTATTTTTCCACCAGGGTCAAATATCCATTTTATAACAGAAGTTAGAAAAAAGTGTTATAATAGTGAGTATGTGAAGGATATAGCTTCCAATAAGGATACACCTTAAATCAAATGAATGATTAAGGTCTTGGAAAGTTGGAGCATTTTTCTTGAAAATTTTATTTCCCACACAAGGATACTTTGGGTCTTTTCTTTCCATGCTTCTAGAGGAAGATGGCAAGGAGACCTTTACACTTTTACATAAGCTTTTGACTCTTAACATCATAATTTTCTTGTTGGTGCAATCTTAAGACTTGTGTATCATGCTTTGACACTTTGAACAAAAGGTGTCTTTTATTTTCTTTTTATATTCTTCTTTTTCTCTTTCTTTTTCTATTTTCTTTCTCATTTGTGCTTCATCCTCTTCCACTTGAGAAGGTGTGAGAGGATGAAGTCCAAACTTTATTTTATTGTGAGTTATGGTTATCTCATTGGTGTGGCCATTATTTAGAGATTCTCTATCAAAAAGCCAAGGACTTTCCAACAAAATGTGACAAGCATCCATAAGCACTATATCACATAACACACTATCTTCATAATGCCCTATGGATAGCTTGACCATCACTTGTTGATTAACTTCCAATTCCTTGTCCTCATTGATCCATTGAAGTTTATAAGATTGAGGATAGGGAAAAGTAGTTAATCCAAGCTTGTTAACTAACCTAGTGCTACAACAATTTGAACATGAGCCACTATCCATAACAAGGGAACATGTTTTGTCTAAGATTTTACATCTAGTGTGGAAGATGTTATCTTTTTGTGTGTGCTCTTGTGAACTAGGTTGATTATGGAGAGCCCTTCTTATTATAAGAAGTTCTCCCTCACAAGGATGGGCATCCTTACTTGCGCTTTCTTCTTGTTTCTTTGCGTCACTTCTCTCACTCTCACTCTCACTTTCCTCATCTTGTCTACTATATACATCAATACCCCTTAATATCATGGTCTTTTTGGTAGGTCATTGTGATGCAATGTGACATCTACCAAGACACTTAAAACACTTAATTTCACTACTACGAGTGTGAGATGATGTTCCCACCCTTGGCCTCTCTTTTTCTTTCTCTTCTCTCTCCCTAGATTCTTAGAGGGTTCTTCTTCTACCACTTGTTTACCCTCCCTCTTGTAGTCTTTCTTAACACTAGAGTTAGAGTAGAAAGCTTTCAAACCTTTTCTTAAAAATTGTCGCTCTACCTTAATCCAAATTTGTACCAAGTCATTTAAGTCTTGGTAGAGCAACAATTCCACTTTATCTCTAATTTCAAGATTGAGACCACTTAAAAACCTAAAGATAGTGGTCTCTTCTTCCTCTCCAATTCCTGCCCTCATCATGTAGAGTTCCATCTTTTGCCTATAGCTCTCTATGCTCATGTTTCTTTGTTGGATCCTTTGGATTTTGACCATTATCTCCCTATGATAGTATGAGGGAGTATGCCTTCTTCTCATGGCACTTTTCAAGTCATTCCAATAGGTGACTTGGGAAAATTAGAGAGTATTCTCTCTCACAAGGGAAGTCCACCAATACATGGCATTCTCTTAAAAACTCAAAATGGCCAATGTGACCTTTCTCTTCTCACTCACTTGATGACACTCAAAGATTTGTTCAACCTTCATTTCCCAATCTAAATATGCCTCAACATCTTCTTTTCCATGAAAATGGGGGAGGTCTACTATAACATCTCTTGGAGTATGTTCTCTATCATGAATTCTATGTGGGTGAGGTTGATAGTATTGGTTTGTAAGCCTACTATCTACCTCATGGTATGTGAGTTGAGTTGGAGTTTTAGAACCCCTCCTTGTATGACTCCTACTTCTCTTTATTTCCTCTTGAGCTTTTTTTTTTGTTTCTCATTAAGGACTCTAAGTTCTTCTTCCAACTTAGCAAGATACTCTTCTCTTTCAATTCTTTCTTTTTCTTTAAGAAGAGTTTCTTGCCTTTGCCAAATTTTAAGTGATTTTAGCTCTTTTTCTAAATTTTTCAAAGTGGTTTTTACATCCCCACTAGAGTCACTTCCAATTTCATAGGAATTAGTCTTAGGTATCCTTAAAGGTTTTCAAAAAGATGCAATGCAACTAAAAAATACTTAAATTTCAAAGAAAGTTCATTAAGAGACTTAAGGAGACAAAATACACCTAAGTTCACTTCTAGGAAAGGGAGGTGAATCATAATGGATTTCTTAAATACCAAACCTTTCCTAGCCAAAGTTTACCTTACCCACTCTTGAACCAAATTTCTCAAAGGGAACTAAAGTTGAAATTAAAGTTGACACACACTAAGCTATCACAATAAAGAAAGCAAATAAACTAGTTATCACAATTCCAAACTTTTATTGGTGCAATAATGCAGTATCTTCCACCGTCAGCAGCCACAACTGCACAAAGTATCCTTCCAACGGCAGACCAACAAAATCAGCCCCAGCACAATCATGAAACCAACAAGAAGATCAACTTCAACATCCAGAAAATCCTTATAAGGATTATTAGTATTTTAGGAATTTCAAACATTTGATATTATTAGTAACTTGTTAGATATCTTATATGATGAAAGACTATTATGTATGGATCCAACAAATTATTATGTATGAAGACTATTATTATTCCATAAATATATGAATGTACGAGAGAATATTGTGCATCTTTAAAATGTTTGGATTTGTATGATTGAACTGATTTTACAGGCATGTGGGATCTTTGCACCACGTCATACATTTAAATGGTCTAACACAGTTACATACGGATTTTTTTGTATGTACAATTCGTATGTAACATCCGTGTGTAGAATCCGTATGTAACATTCGTATGTAGAATCCGTATGTAACATTCGTATGTAACATCCATATGTAATATCCGCATGTAATGACATACAAATTTATCTGTATATAGGTTATCTACGACCACATTACATATGAATTTTTGTCCGTATGTAATCTGTATGTAACTCATCATTACATACAGATTTTTGAGCTTACATAAGGATTTTGGCTGTATGTAATAGCAACTTTTCTTGTAGTGAAAGTTAGAAGAACTTTGGTTAACCAACTAAAAAAACGCAATTTACTAAGAAATAAAGGTTCTTGTTAGGAGATGGGATTGAGAACCAAAGACTCCCCCAAGACACCTAACAAGGTCGCGAGTTACAAGAAAAAAAAAGAGAAAGATTATAAAGCCAAAAATTACAACCAAATCAAAGTTTCCTCCCAANTATGAAGACTATTATTATTCCATAAATATATGAATGTACGAGAGAATATTGTGCATCTTTAAAATGTTTGGATTTGTATGATTGAACTGATTTTACAGGCATGTGGGATCTTTGCACCACGTCATACATTTAAATGGTCTAACACAGTTACATACGGATTTTTTTGTATGTACAATTCGTATGTAACATCCGTGTGTAGAATCCGTATGTAACATTCGTATGTAGAATCCGTATGTAACATTCGT